TTTAGGGTTTTAGTCATGTAGGGGCCATAATGTAATACTTAGAATGAGATGTTGGTGCATATCACAGTATCAGTATACTAAGGAACCCCGGAAATAGTATAGGTGATCATGAAGGTCCCTTTATTAACTAGTTAGTCGGCCTAGGTCCCACCTTTGAGGGTTTGGGGTTTAGACCCCGTCTGGTTGGCATCACTTCCGAAAGAGCTGAAGGGAAGGGGGGGGGGGGGGCGGGTNNCGGGTAGGAATTTGCGTACCTTTCTGATGCTGTTTGGCCAATTTGGCTTGAAACGATTTGTGACACGATTGCCGGTGAGGGTTCGGGGGACGACAGGAGCAGCGAGTGTTGGAAGGTGTGAGCCGGTACAAACAACCAATGAGAGGCGCAACACGAAACCGATGGAACTTTCCGGCTCCTTCGAAGCCACTATGCTTGCCTACGCTGCCGCAACAACTCTGCAAGACTGGGGACAGCCAAGAAGTTGTCGTGCTATTGCTAGTATGGACACTACTACTGCGACGATTCTTGCTACAAGTAAAAAATTACACTGCTGTAAATATCAACATATGCCTACAGCTGATGCAGCCGGGTTGCTTGGGAGCGCCGTTCGTCCAAATGCCCCAGCACAGCTTCAGGTTTGAAGCCGTCTGGCGCGTGCAGGGCGGATGGCTTTGGATGATGGTGTTTGATGCTCTCGGCTTGAAGTGGTGGATGGGGTGGGAAGTGGAACATTATCCAGGTGGGCCGTTTCTAGAAGCAGACCACAAACGAATGCCAAAAGCAGCTGCCACTCTGGACCTCAGAATGCGCTCAGACCCGGAGCCCAACGAAATGATCACGCGAAACGCACGCACCTCCGTGCCCTTGATCTCTTCGTTGGAGTCCAACTTGTTGCGCCTGTCCCGATTTGAACGGCCCGGAATGCAGAAACCAGCATCTTCACGACAGGATGTTAAGGGTTGTTCTCAGCGAGACTCACCAAAACTTCCTTCAGGTACCCGCTTTCGTTCAAGAGCCGATGCATCAAACATCAAACATTGCGGTCGCTGTTCTTGCAGAACAACGAACGCAATGACGGTACTGCCAAGAGCACCGCAGCTCTGCTGCTCGACATCACAGCCCTCGAAGCGTAGCATCGTCATCAGCAAGACCATCATCATGCCAAGAGCGTGCCAGCAGAAGCATTAACTGCTGGTGGCATTGGTCGTTGCAGTGGCTACTGAATAATCAGTCATTGGGATAGCAAGACGATTAGAAGCAAGAGCAGCAGTAGCAGTAATGAACGTCCCCACGGTCCCCCCTGCTACCCCTAGTTTCGACACTGCACTGGCGCATGGGCCAAAACCAAGGCCTGCGTGAATGCCCAAAGTCCAGAATGCTCCAATGCGGGTGCAACATTGAAATTAAGGGGCTGCGGGGAAGTGGACTGCGAAGTGCGATGTTGTATGTCAAGCAAGATTTTTGGCATGAGCAGTAGCACGAGCAAGAGTATGAGTAGGATTAGGAGTACGACTAGGACTAGTAGTAATCGTCGTCGTCGTCGTGGTAATAGTAGTACTGAAAGTCTTAGTAGAGCAATAGTAGTCGTCGTCGCCGTCGCCGTCCCGCGGTCATGGTCGTGGTCGCGGTTGTCGTCGTGGTCGTCATCGTACTAGTACCAAGCCCTAGTGTCCGGACAGGGCCTAGGACAGGGGTGGACGGGGCCTACGGACAGGGTCTGTAACAGGGGGGCTGTGGTTCGGCGCGACTTGGGTCTTCAGACGGGGCCTGTGGTAGGGGGCGATAGGGCCTGCAGACAGGGCCCATGCCAGGGAGCAGCAAGGGCTGTGACAGGGTCTGTGGCGGAGAATGACAGGGTCTAAGGCAGAGCTACGGACTGGTATAGGGTAGGCGGTCGGAGGGGGTTCGATATGTACCAGTAAAAGCAAGTAGCAAATAGTGCACAGTGAGCAAGAAGTAGCAGGAGCAGTAGTAGTAGTAGTAGTAGTAGTTGTTGTTGTTGTTGTCGTCGTAGTAGTAGTAGTAGGAGGAGTAGCAGGAGTTAGTAGTAGTAGTAGTAGTAGTAGTAGTGGTAGTAGTGGTAGTAGTAGTAGTAGTAGTAGTAGTAGTAGTAACAAATAGTAGCAGCAGTAGCAACGGGAGTAACAGAAACAGCAGCAGCAGTGGCAGTAGG